CTATTTTTCTCTCATAAACCGAAGTATTTTGGATCCACCAATATTTTCTCTTATCAACTTTATACACCAAAACCTAATAAACTGAACACACACCATACACCTATGACTCTATGAGGCAAAATAAGAGGATGGATGGAGGGAATATAAAAAAGTTAGGTCTTATAAATGCACTTTATAAATATAAAAAACACTTATGATACATATATAGAAAATAATATTTCTTTTTAAAATATGAACCAATGCATTAATAAATAGCATTTTTTTTTTATTATTATGTGTATAACATTAGGCTACCTCATCCTAAGGTGCAAAAAAAGGAAGGGTGTCTTAATTCCATGGATATGATGATTGAAAATAGTTCGTGTGGCCCTTGAAAAGTTTTGGCATTTGAATTTAGATCTAATCTTCTTCTTCTGCCTGCCTGCCTCATGTGCTCCTTAGCAGTATCCATCTCATATTTCAACTATCATTATCATCTATTCACCTCCCATACTATCTCTTTTGGGTTTGTAGCCAAATAATAAAATATTAATAAATTTATTTTTAGGATTTTTTAATATTTTAGCCAATTAAGGTAGTTGATAATTCCGCATCTACTCCTTTATTTAAATTTAATTTTTGATTAATTTTCTTAAGTTTTTTCAATAAATATTACGGAATACAACAAACTTATGTTATGACTTTGAAATATCGTCATTATACGTATTGAAAATAAAAAGAGGTAATAAGTAATCTACTTCGTATAAATTGTTCATATTAATAATTAGTTTTTTTAATATAAAAATAGAATATATTACTATATATCTATAGTATTATATATCCTAATTGTTGGTTTATAATAAAAAGGAAAAAATTAAGTTGACGTCTTTGTTAGGAAAAAAAAAAAATCAAAAATCATCCTCTTTGAGCTATTCTTGTAGTGGGATCGAGAATATGGCCTCTTGCTATTAGCTCATACTTAGTAATAAAAGTTATAGATAAAACATTAGGATTCCTTTCTCTCCACTCTCTTAAGGTAAAAATAAGGGTAGGAGCGTATGATGAGCAAGTAAACAATAGTTACAAATTTCAGGACACAGAGAAATTAAATAATCCATATTTGCTATCTAAATTACTTTCTTTGGTTTTTTTTTTTTTTTTTTTTGGTGAAGACTTTCTTTGTTTTAGAACAAGTGTTTTGTTTTAATAGACACATATGGCAACATGGAAGTGCATTACTTTGATCAATGATGAGTTATCAATAAGTATAAATTTTTTTTTTAAAAAAAAAATTGATATTGTGAAACTATATATTCAAACGGTTATAACAAATAATATACATCATCTGTTTAATTTTACGTATTATGTAAAATTCACCAATATTAATCAAAGTGACGACGTATATATAATGCAAAAATTAAATTGAAACACTTAAGATGAAACGGAGCGAGTAGGAGTATATGCTTTGATTATGAGAGAACGCAATTATATATATTATTCTTTGACGGGAAGTATAATATACTCAAATTAAATACGGAGTATTGTACATGTGCACGTGTAGCATTGTATGATGATCATGTAAAGGTGGATTCCTTGAGTATGATTGCTCATAACTTAATGAGAGTTGATGGGAGCTTTCCATAGTCACGTGCCACATACCAAACTCCAAAAAAGTACTCTCTCAATTAGATTTGGTGGCCATTAAGGAAAATAGGCTCGATTAAATTACTACATATTATTTACACATTTCCAAATACCAATATTTTTTTTTCAAGCATAATTTAGCTTCATTTCCAATGAGATTTTGATACAAAAATAATTACAATTGATATTGTTTCCTTCCCCTTTTGATTCGGTTGTCTTTTAAGTTTATTATATCTTATTAATTATATCTACAAAGTATGAGTATTGTAGATGTTTGTAATTGGTTTTTGTTTAGTAGTTTTTAGTTTATTTACTTTAATTGAATGCCTTGATGGAAATTCGTGAAATAAATTCATTAATTAAGCGGGATTACAGTAATTATCAATTTTTTGAAATGGAATAAAATAAATTATAATGAAATCAACCTCAAAGCTACAAATAAACATGTAAATTAAACCGTCTTTCTGAATAGATATCCCACAATGCAAAACATATATACTTAATGACTGGAATTTAAAGAAATAATCTTTAATTTGAAATAATATACATCAGATAATTGAACTCGTGTTAAAATAATTGTGTAGAGGGTCCAATAGAAGGCTAGTATAGCCAATTAATAAGAGTAATAGGAGTTTCATTAATTTTGTCGACATCCAATAGCAAGATCTTTTGAAAGGGAGGAAGTTGATGCCATGTTATTGGAATGACCAAATAACATGATTAGGTGCTACTTGCTTAGATTGATAAGATAAAAACAATATTAGGCAAAGTATGAATGTTGTGGGCAGGGTTTGCCTAGCAGTTAACCAACAATTACATATTCAATTGTTTCCTACTTACTGCCTTAATTACTGTATTATATAACAATAATTTTGGCTTAGCATTTATTACACATCCTTACAACTTTTGCTAGCTGAATTTTAGGGATCAGATATTGTCCACCTCAAAATGTGTAAGGAGAGAAAACTGAGTTAGGTTACATGTAACACCCCAAATATTAATTAGGGTAAAATATATATATTGTCACAATATGCACACATTATGAGAAACTTCTCTGAATTTCGTACAAGAAAATGTATCTTGTTGGTAAGAATAGTAAATCAAATTCTTTTATGGGGAATATAAACCTAAAACGGCTAAAAAGATGGGCCATTTTGAAGTATCTTTATGGATAATAAGAAATATGGGAAGATCACAGAAAAATCGTATATGTTGTGGAAAAAAAAAACCTTTGTTGCCATAAAGTCCATCACTAGCATGATTCAAGCTAATTAAGCTTCCACACTATATGGTTTTCCACCACCAAATTATCTCCCTCAACAATCAAGTTCCTTGCCCCTACAAAGGGAGCACCCTTTATACCTTCATGAAGTGTCATTGTTTCAACTTGGAGAGTGGAATGTAAGCCAAGGTAATGATGATTATAGTATTCTTATACTCCGCATATTATAAGTAAAAACATATTTGTTTTTTGTATTAATTTAAATAAATACATAGCAAAATTATGTGTTGATATGTATAATTAATGTTTGATTTTACATATTTTTTTCTTCTTGTACGCTATTCAATCTTAACAGTTGTATACATGTATATTTTTTATTTAAATTATTACTTTAAATTTCATATTAGTATTTTTTTGGGGTTAAATTATAAGTAATTAGTATATTACAAATTGAGGTTGAGGTGATAGAGTATTAATATCGCTACAACCCTAAAAGTTGTATCAAGTATTGTTAACTTTCGTATAAGAAATTCTTAAAATACAAATTGAGGTTGAGCTGGTGGAATATAAACATCGCTTCCTACCTCATATCCCTGATGTCTAGGGATCAAATTTCATTGGACTCATTTCAGGAGTTTTTAATAAGTAATTGACTAATTGTTATAAGACCTTCAATTCTTCAAATTATATAATACAAGAGAAAATAAAAATTGTAAAGATAAAACTCAACAAATTAAAACAAGGTGACCTAAAAAAAAAGTAGAGACAGCTCAAGTAGTGATCCAGCTTCCTGTTTGATATTCTAAAATAACAGTTCTGACAAACGCCACATGAACAATAAAGAATGGTCCACCCACATGAAAACTTCAAGTTAGAGGAACTCAGAGATCTCACCCCCACATACCCTACAATCCACATCTCTCCAATTTTTTTTTTTTTTTTTATTTATTATTCCACATTTCTCTACTTTTATCCATATTTATTTTCTCTTTAATTTTAATTTTCTTCAACATTTTTCAAATAATAATAATAATGATAATAATAATAATATACTTTTTGGCAGATCAATAATCAAATGAAAGCAATGTTTGTGTCTACAAACTTACAAAAAAGGTCTATTATTAACATAAGATAATGTACTTTTTTTGTTCTTCCCATTTGTCTATACTAATTTAACTTTTAGAGGCACAAGGGGCTAATTTGTATTTTCTTTAGTCTATTTCATACTCTTTCCAATTATAAAATAAATCATATAAAAAATTAAAATATTTTCTTTTGACCCCCCCTAACCTCCCTGTCAAAAAAAAAAAAAAAAAAAAAAAAAACTTACACTATCTTTATTTTATGCAAATGACGGCAAAGCCCGAGGAAATAAAGCAAAATACATAGCAAAACGTGGCAGTGCCACCCCAGAGACATTGCTATATATCGATCGGACGATCATCTCTAGAACTCATTATTAATGAAATAACTACTTATACATCTCTAGAACTTTAGGGGAAACCAAAAACCAATACCTGTATAAAATTACTCCTTTCGTCTCGCATAGTCATCTACTAATAAATGGATTTAAAATGAGAGAAAATTACGTGGATAAGTTTGAGAACCGAGGAATAAATAAATAACTAAAAGCAAAATGGAATACTTATACCTACAAAAGAAAAATGGAAAAAAATGGGACCCATATAGTGTTTAGTCTAATGTAACAACGTACACCGAAGTTAACTTTTAAAATATCATTGTAAGAATGTAAGTTACTCGGACTCTGATACTTCTGCAGGATATAAACACAGAGTACATGTTTTAAGGAGTCCTCGACTCAGCATATTATGTTAAAGTGTTCATACATATGACTGTATTTAAGGTGAAATGAATAGTCGGAGTAACATCTAAAAAGGAATTTTATATCGTACTCCCTTTGTCCCTATTTTTTTTATTCCATTTGACTGTGTGCGGTCTTTAAAATGCGTTTTAAAATATCTATATCTTTATTTCATATACGTAAAAATTATAAAAACATGATATTAATAAAAAATACAATAAGACGAATCTAACAAGACTACTCATGACTATATTATCTTTTTTAAATTAACGGTAAATTATGGTCAAAGTTTTCAAAGTTTGACCCAAAAATTAGTAATAGGGCAAAAATAAAGGGAATGAGGGAGTATAATTATCTCTAAAAATCTTAAATTGTATAGGATAGCATTTAAAAAGGAATATAAAATTGGAGTAATTACAGACATTAATTAATCATTAATTGATAGAATCACAATTCCCGAGGTCATCTCCAAAAAGACTTTAATATAAAAAATTGTCACTCATAAACCATGCAGTAGGCAATATATAGCTGCCTATCTTAGCCAACAGACAGAACATACATACACATACACATTCATTCATTTTTCAGAGAATTTTTCTTCTGTACTTTGCTGTTTTCCATGTGAAAAAAATAAAATCCTTTTAAAAAAAAAAAGTACTCATAAATCATCTATTTTATCATATTCACAATATGTCAGATTTCAGAAAAATAAGTACTCCCAAGTTTCGGTTTTAGCATTACTTACAGAAATCGCTCTGTTTCTGAAACTCGTAAACCTGCAAACTTGTTAAACAGATTTTATGTGTCATATTTTCAGCCTTGGTAATGTAAATCAGATGAAGTAAAGCATCCCCCTTTTTTTCTTCTAAATCTCAAAGAAAAAAAATGTCTGCAAAACTTCTGTATTCAATGTCAGAAGAAAATCAGAATTTGAAGAAGCAGATTGGATGTATGAATGGATTGCTTCAATTCTTTGATCCTCATCATTTCATCAATAATCGTGTCATTAGCAATTCAACTAACAGAAGAACTTCTCCAGGTAAGATTTAATCAATTTTCACCATTCTAAAGATTTATTATGAAATTAGTCAATTTCTATTTTAATTCCTCTCAAGTTTTTAAGTAAACATAATATTTAAAGTATATTTAAAAGTATTACGTTGTTTAATCATATAGCGTAACATTATTTAATATGCTATGTTGTTTAAGAATATAGTATACCATAACATAATCTTCAAGCTTGTTTGGTATTACTATGAGTTTTTGACAGATAGATTTCAAGAATTATACACCTTTCATTTCATATTATTTGCAACAATTTTTTTGTTTAATGCTCTACATTTTTTCACACGGTAAGATACGAGGAGGGTACCCCTTCTATCACAGGAGGGGTGGGGTGAAGACATCCCTCCATTCCATGATCCTCTTCCTGTCCTACATATGCCATAGCTGAATTGATGAAATAATTAATAGTAATAGTAATAGTCAAAAGTGGTACAAGTAATAAAATTTCAGTTTATCTTGACCCTGAAATAATGGCATGTGATGATTGTTAATGCGACATAAGTGGTTGGTCGTTACTCTGTGTTTCAATCAGCACAGTGAGACCATATGAATACCAATAATTTTTTTTTTTTTTATGCTTTTTAGTTTTTAAAATATGAATAGCATAATGTAGTCTAATAATATGTGTATGAATTGTTTGATACTTCACAAGTTTAAATCTCAGGATATATATATATATATATATATATATATATATATATATATATATATATTATTTTTATTTATTTTTTAATTTTTTTTTATGTATTGTTCTTGTGTTTTAATAGGAAAAAATAATTAACATTGATCTTTTTATATACACAATGTACATTTTTAATGTATAATTCACAAAAGACAGTCAAATGAGTTTGTGTAAATAGTACAGTAAAAAGCTTTAACATTGTTATTAAAAGGAATCTATTAAATATTACTAAAACAAAACATTGCTGATATCATCTCTCCTCAAAACTATATACGTGTTGCTTTCTTATGAAATTTTTTCCCGCCTAAAACCATTGATGATTCCTTTTTATGAGATATTTTTTTTTTATGAAAGGATTTTTTTTTATTTTTTTTTTCTCTTTTGTGTGATACTTCGTAAACAAGCTAATTAAGTTCTTTCAACAAATTTAATCTAGAAAATCGATGTATAGTAAATTGAATAGCAACTGTATTCCTTTCTTTTGATTTAAATATCTATCATTCTCTCTCCTCGATTCTTTAACACTAATATTCAAATGTCCAGAAATTTCCCTGAAACATTCAAACTGTATTTCTTTCAAGAAATCTCCTTCCAATGAATTTATGACAAAATTGAAAAGATTCATTGTATATACGAGTTCTATACAACAATTTTTTTTATTAAAATCGTGCATTACAGCCGAGCCCAATAACAAATATTGCAATTTTTAATACGAGAACTATTCTAATATTTGAGAATATATGTTTTATAACATATAGATTGCAAAATTATTTTATGATTTTCCACAAATATTGTCACAAATAAATAACAGCGAAGTCATAGTATTATACTATTATGTTACAGCACTAGAAATCTTGTTATCATAGAAGCATTCAGTCAAATGTTTCTTTCAATATAGGAGTATCTTTCACTACACTTACCACTTTCTAACATGTAGCTTACAGCCTTACATAATTTTTTTTTAGTAAGAAAGTATGCTACAAAAACTCTCGTTGACGTTTGGTACAATGTCACAACAATAGAGGAATTATAACAAGTAGAGGTGTCCACCGTGCGAGTCGTGCGAGCTGGGTTAGGGTTAGGTGGGTCGCGGGTTGGGGTTTCATGACACACGGCACGACACACGTAGGGTAGGGTGGGCCGGGTCGTGGGTTGGGTCGGAGAAGTTGGACACACCAGGGTTAGGTTCGTGGGTTAGACGAGTCGTGGGTGGGTCGAGCTGGGTTTGTGGGTTAGACGGATCGTGGGTGGGTCGAGCTGGGTTTGTGGGTTAGACGGGTCATGGGTGGGTCGAGCTAGGTTCGTGGGTTAGACGGGTCAAGGTGGGTTAGTGAGTTAGGGTGGGTCGAAGGGTGGGTTAGTGGGTTAGGGTCGGGTGGGTTTGTGGGTTAGGTGGGTTAGGGTCGGGTGGGTTAGTGGGTTAGGGTCGGGTGGGTTTGTGGGTTAGGTGGGTTAGGGTCGGGTGGGTTTGTGGGTTAGGGTCGGGTGGGTTCGTGGGTTAGGGTCGGGTGGGTTGTGTGGTGTTTTAATTTTTACAAAATTAACAATTTGATGGCTTGCTCTTAATTAAGATGCCTACGTATCCTTATATTATAAAATAAGGAATCAAAGCCAGCGTAGTTCTTATATTGTACTTCTTTTGAAATTTGGGGGGGGGGGCTTGGACCTATCTTTAGAAAACTAAAATTTAATTTTGCAATTAAATTGTAATTTTCGAAAAATAAGTTGCCTACGTATCCCGAAAGAATCAAAGCCCACGTAGTTCTTAGCGTACCTGATTTAGACTTTTCTAGCCACCCATGTTTGTTGCATCATCATCCCCGGAAGCTGCATCATCCGTTGACGACTCCAATATCATCACAGGATCATCTTCATCGTCTTCGTCTTCCTTTAAACCTTGAGTTCTTCTTTCAGCTTGATCCCAATCTTTCTTACAAACACAAATTTGAATGCTTTCCGGAGTTAAGGGAGATCTTTTTTCATCTAACACTCTTCTACCTGCACTAAAAGCAGACTCGGAAGCAACAGATGAAGCGGGAACTGCAAGTATATCTTTTGCAATTCTCGCCAATATAGGAAAACTTTTTTTATGTTCTTGCCACCATTTTATAATTTGAAAGTTGTTGTTGGTCTCATGTTGATATGACAAATAATCATTAATAGCAAGTGTTGAAGAAGATGATGATGAGAATGATGTAGATGCTTTGTGTTTTTTTTTCATAACTTTATCAAGAAAACCAAATCTAGAATCGGAAGTGCTAGTAGTAGTTGGTGTTGCCAAATCAAAACCATAAATAGATGCATAATGATCATAAAGGTCTCCCAAAACAGATTTGCATTTGTTAATATATTCACTAACATCATAATCGATACTTAAACTTGTATAATAAAATTCTAAAAGATTTTCCAAACCTTCAGCTTTGACACCGGGGTCAAGAATAGCAGCAATTCCATAAATGATTGGAAATTCACTAAAATAAGTATGCCACTTACGTTTCATGCTATCAAGAACGGGACGAAGTCCATCAATCTTCATATGCTCTTCGATGGTGTGAACAACTTTAACACACTCAATTATGACTAAATGAACGTTAGGCTCATAAATATAAGAGAAAATATGAGTTGCACTATCAAAAGCATTTAAAACATCACGAACAAAAGAAGCATTAGTCCAATGACTTTCGGTTATTAACTCAGTAGGATCAACACGAGTCTCATTGTAAAGTTGGGTCAAAATATCACGATACTTTATAGCATCACTCAACAACTTGAAAGTAGAATTCCAACGGGTAGGGGTATCAATAGACCATTGTCTTTTCTTAAGACCTCTCTCTTTACACATAGCTATGTACTTTCTTCTAACTGACTGAGTAATCCTAATCCATTTTATAACTGTTCTAATTGAGTTTAGCAATGGTTGCAACTCAGCGAGACCCTCTTGAACAGACAAATTCAAAATATGAGCACAACATCTAACATGCAAGAGACTACCACCCAACAACAAATTCAACTCGGAGTCATTTTTCAAATAGTCAATACACTTTGTGTTTGCAGTTGCATTATCAAGAGACAAAGAAAAAACTTTATTATTCAAGTGAAATTCTTTTAAACAATCCAAAATACGAACTTTGATGTTAAAACCGGTATGCCTTTCTTCCATAGCTTGAAAACATAGTATACGTTTTTGAATAAACCAATCATCATCCACCCAATGAGCAGTAATGCAAAGAAAAGGTTCGCCAAAACTAGAAGTCCATGTATCACTTGTAAAACTAACACGACCATCAAAAGTACGAAATAATTCAATCAAACCACTCCTATACTTATAATAAGAAGTTTGTGTATAACGTCTTAGGGTATTTCGGGGGACACGAGTAAATGCAGGTTGTAATGCAACTTTATTAAAATGCTCAACGTTTGCATTTTCACCGTAACTAAAAGGGTATTCATTAGCAATAACTAAAGTACTCATTTCATCAATCATTCTATCTTTATTATAAATGAAAGGTGTACCTCCGCCGGGTTGGTTCATGTATCCACCCAATTGTGTTTGGACGCCACCCCCCGAAGGACGGGGGCCATTTTCGAACAAGTCGTGTTTATTTTGCAAATGCCGACTCAAGGTTCCGGTTCCATCTCCCGTTTTCCAATTATATGACTTGACATTTGCACCTAGCGCCTTGCAAACTAGGCATGTACACGTGAACCTCTTTGGTTGACCAGGTTGCCATCCCGGGGGTGTGACCTCAACTCGTTCAAAATGTTTCCACACCCAAGAAAAATGTGCTCGACCTCTACTTTCACCGCCACCACCTTTCATAAATCAAATTATTAAAATTAATTTTTAAATGCTATTCATGAAAATAAGCTTTTAAATTTTAAATATTTTAATTATACTTATTTAAACGCATTTTTCATGGTAATTAACTAATTGTAAATCATAGAAAATTGGAAACTAAACTAACTTTATAATCATTAATAATAGTTTTTTTAAATATTCATAACAATAAAAATTTAATTAGAAATTACCTTGAGATGAAGGTTGAGATGTTGGTTGCGATGGAGGTGGCATAGTTGAACTTGATGATTGGTGGGACTCGTGGGAGAAATGTTGTGGTGGAGACGTTTGAATATTTTGCCTATCTCCTAAACCATAATCTCCATATTCATTGACAAATTGGTTTAAATTTTCCGTATTAATTTCATACGAAAAATTTGCACCACCACTCCTTTGGCTACCACTTCGACCACCACTTTGACTCCTTCCCATTCCTCCTCTTGAGCTCATTTTTTTTTTGTATGATTACTAATTATAATATGGAGAAGAACTTTTTTTTTTTAGAATCTTAAGAATACTAATAATAATATTAAGGAGATTTTTTTTAACAAAAATATAACTCTATATAACACTTGAGAATTTGAGAACAATAAGAATTTTTAAGTAAGAGAGAAAGAAAGCTTGAATTTGTGTGGAAATTTGAGTGAAATGGAATTGGTATTTATAGGAAAAATAGAATGGATGATCATACACTTAAAAAACTAGCCGTTAGATACAAAAAACTAGCCGTTTTTTTTTTTAAAATGGATGTTAGGCCGTGCGGGCCGTGCGGGTCGTGCGAATTGTGCGGGCTGTGCGGGCCGTGCGGGTTGGGTGGGTCATTCGTGCGGGTGGGCCGTGCGGGCTGGGTTGTGCCAGGTGGGTCGGGTTAGGTGGGTTCACGGGCTAGGTGTGTCGAATTAAATGAGTCAAAACGGGTTGTGCGATTTGGGTCGAATCAAACGGGTTAAACTGAGCTGGGTTGAAATGGGTTGTGTCGAAAATTTTGGACCCACGACACAACCCGGATTAAATCCGAGCTGTGCCGGGCTGTGCTGGATTGAAACCGGGTCGGACCCACGTGACCCACCAGCCGTGCGAGTTAGGGTGGGCTGGGTCCAACCCGGCCCACTGGCCACCTCTAAATTAACAACTTTGTCAATAAAATCATATGCAATGTTCTATATATCCTAGGACATTGTTAGAAGACACATCTTTACTTTTATTTGAACACATCTTTACTTGGTGACTGCATCATATATATAATAATTTTTATTTTTTATTATACAAGTTTAAAATTAATAGAGAATTGATAACAACTTTGTCAATAAAATCATATGTGATGTCCTAGGACATTGTTAAACGACTCATTTGTACTTGATAATTGCGTCTAATATTTGATCAACCAACATAAGATTTTGTTTTATATATATATAAATAGCATAAGATTTGCGATGTCTTCCAAAGAATTTCCATTTTCTTTTTCAATTTCAAGTAATTCTCTTTAATTGATGCTAGGTAAATGACATACAACAATGTATAATTTATAACACAAACATTGTTGATCAAAAATCTTGGTTGCTGACTGAGTGACTGGCTGACTGCTATATGTTAAATTTTTTACCTTCAAAAATCTCTATGAGCACAAAAGTTCAAATTTTCTGCTATAATTTTGATATTCATAAATCATGATTCTAAAATCAACATCTTATGCTTGAACAGGTGAAAACAAGCAGCATGGAAGAGCAGGCAATAATGCCAGCAAGAAATCGAAGGTGAGAGACTTGATAAATCGATTGATACATCTGAAATTCTGAATTAGCTAACTTTAAATGATGAAACTATACCTTCATATGCTCACAAGTTTTAGAGATAAATGTAACATTAGTGTACCACTGCAGCTAAATTTGCTTGCATTTGCAGGACAAACACGCGAATGTCATAAAGGAGATGGAAGCTAACCCCGTAGAATCATCTAGAATTTCAATCTCATCTTCTGGTTCAACGGCCATATCCTCATCAGAATATGAATGGACCGCCAATTCTGAACAGTCGCTGTCATGGGATTACCTAGCAAACCAGCCACAATCTCTTCCACAACAACCAAGTCCACCAGTAAAAATGGGCTACCACCACAAGAAACACATTATCAGAGAGACTGCCCCCTCTGCATCACCAATATCAATTGCATCATCGATATCAACTGTATCAAGAGAGGTGAAATATGACTATCAGCATATGGATTCCCCAAGACTTTCACATACGTCCAGATCAGATAGCCCACGACTTGCTGCTCTCAATGAGTCATTCCGTTCAATTAGTTCCAACCATAGTGCGCCTGTAGCAACTCCAAGAAAGAAAGATCTTGCTCGATTGTCTTATGATGGCAGGGAAACAAGGGACAATCACATTTCTAGCTTGAAAGTTAAAGACCTCCCGAGGTTGTCATTAGATAGTAAACAACGAACTGTAAAAGTATCTGCCCATGAGTCGAAAGACGATTTACTCCTAGGAGACTTAAAGAGAGAGATTTGCAGTCCCAGCAAATTCCAGAGTGACCAACAGGAGCCTACAAGTTACAGAGCACCATCTAACGTTGTGGCAAAGTTGATGGGGTTGGAAGCTCTGCCAAATGATACACCATCCAACAAGAGTAGGATAGAGCAAGATGGCTCTAACTATTTCCGAAATGCTGAGTTGTTCTCGAGATCTTCAAGGACCATAGATGAAAACAAAGTAGATCGGGTTTTGAACTCCCCAAGAAGTAATTGCAAGGAATCCAGGACTCCACGGTCAAATAAAGCCAAGTCAGAACAAACAGCTTCTCTATCTCAGGAAGCTGAGAAAGAACCCAAAAACCATCCTCTCACTGTCTATGGTGCAATTGAGAAAAGGTTGGCTGATCTTGATTTCCAAAAATCTGGGAAGGATCTTAGAGCTCTAAAACAGATACTTGACTCAATGCACAAGGAGAAAAACAAGTTGGAAATCAGAAGGGAAAATCAGTCTCCACATTGTGCATCCCAAACAAGCAATAGCAGCTCTGTTCGAAACAGCCAAAAACAGGGTCCAAAAAAGGCTACTCCGTCTTCAAGTAAAGGGTTCAATATCATCAAAGATGCTACATCAGCTAAAAATATAAAGCCGACTAAACTTGTCAAAGGTTCAAGGGAAGAAACAACTCAAGTTGTACAAGATATACCCGTAATTAGCCTTCAGAGACTTAGGATTGTTCAGCCTTTAGATGGCCCCAAGGATTCAGCACAGAAGAAAGCAGCAAAAGATCCCAAAGAAACTCATCACATCAGGAAGAAGTATTCTGGAGAACGAACTCCAAGGCCAATAAGAACTTCAAAAGCACCTGAGCATATGGCCAAGGCAAATGTGACAAGCTCAGCAAGGATTTCAGACGCAAGAAGCACCCCTGGAACAACACCCGTTTCTAAAGTAAAGCAAAGCCAGCAAGCTATGAGCTTCATCCCTCACAACCGAAAGCTACCACAAGATTCATCTTTTTTGCAGGAGACTGATGGACAATCAAGTGAGTTCAGAAATGAATCAGCATCCCTGAGTCAACAAGGAAACACAAATCCATTGTTATCCCAAAACAACAGTAGCATGGTCTCACATATTCACAGATGTATTGAAATTGCTAATGAATCATGCATGAAATATGAAACCATGCAGCAAGTGAGTGGTAACAAAGTAAGTTCTACTTCTCATCTTTTCGTGTGTTACTGACTTATATCTATTTTTTCAACTCATTTCTATTCTCATTAGTTCACCTTAACTAACCTGACCTTTTTAACAACAGAATTCAGAAGCAATCCGAGGCAATGCACCTTTGGAAGAACTAGCAATAACTGTAAGGGAGCAACCAAGCCCGGTTTCAGTTCTTGATGCTAATTTCTTCGATGATGAAACTCCGTCTCCAGTTAGAAAGAAACCAACAGCATTCAGAGGTAAGGACGGAATTATATTATCAAGTTAGCTGAAAGTGCATTAACCTACATTAAAAAAAAATAATAATAATAATAATAATAATTAAAAAAAAAAAGGTTTATCAACTAAAATTAGTGCCAACAAACATAAAGCATATTAATGACATGAAGAGATGCATTTTTTCCACATAAACCTAAAAAACTCACTCAACTTCTACAGCTATTGGGCCATTATCCCAATAATCTTCTTTTTCTAACTCACCAACAGATGATGCTTGAAGATAACACTTAGTATAAAGATATAGTCATGCAAATCATTATTCTCCACAAATAAGGCTTAACATCAGATCAACTTTCAAAAGTAACAAGAAATTCATCCTTGTGTACTATCAATAAAAGGTGCACTGAAAAGGGAGCTTAGAATAAAGAGTATAGAAAATACAAGTATGCAACCTTCCATTCTTAGCAAGGGAGGAACATTATCATATTATGAGATACATGACTCTCAGCTCATTGGAACATGGTTATCTAAAATATCCATCAAAAAATATTATAGCAAAATTCTTAGGAAGAAATGCTGATCCAATGTTGTTAACTTTTATGCAGATTTGGTGACCAATGCACCATACACTGAAGCAGAGTGCATGGACACTGATCCATCTTACTCTGTAGACAGCATGAGAGCAGGTTTCATCTATGGGAGAGATTATCAAACACTAGAAAACTTCAAAGAGTTAGCTCCTACTGTAAGGAACATGAACACTTATCAAAATGTGAATTTAGGTAATGCCGGACCTCTTTACAACAGCATGAATCTGGAAAAGTCATATGTGTCTGAAATACTCTCTGCCTCAGGATTCGTAAATCATCTTAAATACACAATGGACAATCATCTTGTCCTCCAGTCACAAGAAGCAATTAACCCCAATCTGTTTTTTGTGCTGGAACAAGACATAGGAAGCAGTTTTATTTCAGATAAAAGATCCAACAGTAACGAGAGAATAACAAGAACCACAGAAATGCGCGGGAGAAGGCTCTTGTTTGATGCAGTTAATGAAATATTATCTCAGAAACTCTCTCAACCAAGACCATCCTTGAAATTGCATTCAGAGCTCACAACTACTGGCCCAAAGCTCCTGCAGGAGATATTAAAAGAAATTGATCGGCTCCAACCTATCAGCTTGCCTCAAAACTTAGATGATGAGGAGGATTTTCTGACAACCATCATAGGGAAAGATCTGACACATAAATCAGCAGATTGGACTGATGTCAGTGGTGAAACACCAGCTTTGGTTTTAGATATTGAAACATTGATTTTTAAAGACTTGATAGTGGAGCTTGTTGAAGACAAGGCCACAGAAGTACAATCTCAGAAATACTGAAAGCAGTAACGTCTCTCAAAATCTTTACTAACTTAACTATTTCTTTTGCTTTAGGACTTTCACTCTTGTAATTCATGTTTAGTCCACTTTCCATCCTTTTGTTTCTCCTTTTGCATTTTAATTAACTTGATTGTCAAGCAAAGCATGTTAATCAACAATACAGTTGTAATTTTGTAAAGTAAATTTACTTTCATACGTATTTGATGTATCTTCTACAAATTGTATAGGTTATTCTAGACCCTAAAATTCTCAAAAAGATAGCAAAACTATCACCCTATTTCTACATGAGAAGACAGGGAACAATTGTGTGGAATGTAGTTCCAAATGGAATTCTAAATGCAAGCAAAATCAGTTGCTGCAGCAACAAGCAACACCAAGTAAAACTACTAAAATCCTGCAGAGGGCCCAAAATTATTAACATAGTCCCAAGAAAGTGAACAGTCACTTAAAACTCCTTGTGACTACTGTTCACATACTAATCTCTACAGAGACAAACCACTGTATCACCTACAAGTCTACAACGGTTATCAATTGCCACTAGTTGCAGCAAGTTTTAATAGACTGCACAGCAAAACATAAGATGAGACACTCATAATGAACATGTAAGCAGATCAATACATGATAAAGCAAAATGAAATAATATAACCCAACTTTTGACCATCAACCATCAAATGATTCATCAGCTTCTGCTTTTAGGAAGGCAAAAAAAAAAAAAAAAAAAAAAAAAAAAAGAAAATAAATAAATAAAAGGAGAGAGGTCTTCTATAGTCATTCACATTAATCAGATACAAGCCAAAAATTGGCAGATGAGGAAACAACTTAAGTCACACAGCCCAAGCAATGCCACTTAAAACACATTCCCAGGGAGAAAGTTTTTGAAGCTTTCTACAAACAACTGTATGGGATTTCCTTCTTCCTACAGTTAGACGTAGCATTTTACTCATCATAGTTTTTAAGGAGAGATGAAGTGTGGATAAACTAATGAAAAGATAATTCAGTCATGCATAAATCAACTGAAGGGAATAACAGAATGAAAAACAGCAAAGGTAAACAAATTTGATGGGAAAGGAGTCTAAAGCTTCCATAACCTAAAGTCAATATATAGCTTTTACTTTCATTGCATATCAGGGCCTTTCAAATAAGCATAGGAGTCATAAACTTTCAAAACCCAAAGTCAAGAGACAGCTCTTATTATCAATTCATATCATTGGTTTTCAAACAGATTACATAAACACTAATGAGAGCATATCCAAAGTCAAATCAGTAAGGGTTGGGGAATTGAGGATTGTCCCTTGCCATGGACTGGCTCATCAGACAACAGAAATGCACTCTGCTGCACAAGGTAAAGCGGCCTAGCAGGCTTAAAAATAGTCAGCAATTGATACCTCAGCTTTCATGATAATGTTGATAAAACTAAACAGATAATAGTTTCTCGTGTAACCTAGACTCTTCATTTTACCTCAAGTGCCTGTGTCAGAACCTCAACACTCCTACAAGGACAGGGGTACAGACACTTCAACACTTCATTTTGCATTTATCAACTGAAAAGAATAACAGAATGAAAACCAGCAAAGGAGGACAAAATTGATGGGACACGAGTCTTAAACTTCGCATCATCTAAAGTCAAGAGAAAGCTTTTACTTTCACTGCATATCACGGCCTATCAACAGACAGTATACTTTTTCCCTAAAGCTATCATGTAGCAAGTAATTAATTACAAAATAAAGAAAGTTATATATCGCATTAAAACCTAATACTTACTGTTGGCTATAGCTATTCAAAAGCCTCTGGATTAGTAACTTAAAATCTCAGCTAGGGAAAGCTATGCCCTCAAATATTCATTATACTTTCTTTCTAATTGCAGTACCATAATGCCAACGGAACCATTTTCCATACTAGTAAGTGAAACTTCCTTCATCCTTTTGTTTCCAAGTCACAAGGGCATATCTCACAGAACAAAGTTGGGCCGGGCCCAGCCCATCCCAAACAAGGCTACTAGTAAGTGCCAAAGAGAAAGAACCAAGGAAAAGAGAGTAAAAGATAATTAACAGTCTTCCTCCAAAAAGATTAAACTACATGAGCGTGTAATAAAGCACTCCTCATAAAAACAAGGTCTCAAGGGCAGTTGCGAACTTCTTTTAACCACTGCTGTAAAAGAAAAATAAATAAATGAAAAGGAGATTTTGTCCTCCATATATCAAAAGATCAGAAGAAAACAGACAAATTTCTGTCAAGGAAATTACAAAGCTCTAATCGGAAACATATCGTCCATTCTACACAAACTTTTCAAGATACAGAATACCAAAAACCTCAAAATTAAATCTTCATCCCAACCATTAGGAAGTCTCGATAAAGTAAGATCCAATGTTTTTATGATTTCCAGTCTGTAGAAACGCTACTAAAATGGTAGCCTCCCTAATAAAGCAATCTAAACAACTTTGGAAAATACTTGTAGAGATTTATCCTTACACCAAATGTCATGCCAAAGCAGAACCTTTGAACCAATCTTTTAACTTAAAATCAACCAAGGACTTGAAAACATGCAACACCTGAAATAAATCTCCAGATGCCCGTGCCTTGAAAAAAGATCTTGCTCCACCATGTTCTCAACACCGATATTCCTCTACAAAATCTCATCTTCATTAACATATATCAGCAAATAGCCACCTTGCCTTGAGATCTTCACATATCATTCCATCAGGGCCTAACCGCCTAACAGCAAGTTCTCCATGGGACAACTCACTTCCCACATAACCTAATGAACACCCTTAACACTTAACAGAATAAATGTAAATTTGTTAGCCTTTTTGGCAAGTCCCATTTGATTTTTCTAGCTTTGAAGCCACTATACCTGGGATAGTGAACATTAATATAAAGCAAATAGGCAAGATGAAAAGTGTTTCTTATCAATGTTAATTTACATGCATACCACTGTTGACAAAGCTTTGATTCCCATACTACAAGTTAATTTTTGGGAGAATCTCTCAATAATAGATACCAAGCAAAATTGCACACGAAAGGAACATCAATGGGAAGAACTTGTAGGAACAATCTACACCCAACAAACAAATAAATCAATAAGAACTACAATTTTGGAACCTCACCAAGCTGGACCTTTGAAGGTTAGAGGATCACATTAGGAAAATCCACTAGAGCTTGAAAATAATCCTATTTGATACCCATTGACTAGCACACTGAAAAGCGAGTTGTAGGGGAAAAAAATATATGAATCCAGTTCCTTTATTGGTAAGAAAATTGCATACTCTGAGTATTTGACTATTTATATCAGAAAATCCTAAGGGGTACGATCTATGTTAAGACTCTTCAATTCACCTCACGTACCCGTGTCGGACCCTCGACACTCGAACGTGGGTATTAAAATTTGGACACTTCACTTTTAGTTCAAAATCATGGAATTTTTTCACAAAATAGCCGAGTCGGACGCTTGGACACATACCTATGTCGGACATGGATACCCGAGTTCAAGTAACATAGGGTACGATCAAGAGCCTAATTTAAATCTAGCTTGCACGACAAATCAATTTGGTTAGATTTCAGCGAAGGAATGTGGCCCCTAATTGGATGGGTCAAGAATGCAGGCATTTGTAAAAATTAGAATTGGTATATGAAACCACCTGGTTTTCCCCCTTCAGTGTAACAGAGAAAGAAAAGCTTCAATTGTTCATTCTTGCCCTGGAGATTTGTATGATAAGCAGCTGTTACACAGTAGGTTATCATCTTTGCACAAATGATCATTTTTGTCTAACAAGAAATACAGGATTGCCAGCTGTTCCCATCAGATCTGCACACAGCTTTTACAACCATTTGCTTGCATCTAAACCTCAGACTGAAATTAAAATATTTACTGCTAGTTTATCTTTTGACAGAATCTAGTGTTTTCTAGCAGTGGAAGCCCCAACATCTGGACACACCATCCCCAACAAACATCGCAAAAACAATATCGTGACAGCATTATACAACTATATTGGTAACATACCAAAGATGGACACACTACAGCACAGAGGAAGCAAGCCAAGCAGCACTCTCACTAATACCCCATAGCAAAGGACGGGGTTGAAGAGTAAGGAGACATTAATTGTAACATTATTTATGTTTATATTTATTCTTGTATATGAAAACTACAAGACTTGAACTCGCAACCTCAAGTATAAGCACTAAAGTCTTAAACATTAAACTATGGTATATTCCATGCTATCCTTTCATAATGAAGTACTCCCTCCGTCCCATAATATAGTTCTTGTTTTCCTATTTTGGAGATCCATAATGTTGTTCCTGTTTTTATTTTTGGATAGTATGTAAAGACTATTATACCCTCACTTTTTTTAACTTTATTCATTGTACTTCCTGGATTACCCTTGAATTTTGCACATGCCATGTACTTTTTTCCACCTTCTCTCTTTAACTTTTGTACTTTTCACTTTTATTAATGTACTTCATCTACTTTCTCTTCCTATTTCTTAAATACCATGAAAAAACATAAACAGGAAATATATTTTGGGACAGAGGGAGTATAAATTAAAAAAAAATAATAATCAATAAATAAATAAATAAATAACCTAAAGGCTTAACCACTAAGTAAGCCACAATGCATACTATCCTTACAATTTTTATTTTTTTTAATGAATGAAAAAATTGGATTTGATCATGACATTCATGCATAACTAGCATAAGAGTAAAAAAGTTATTCATGCAATGACCCGGGGCATCGCCTAGGCCCAAAATCTTGTTATTCCACAGAAGTATACAATGACATTATCCAAAAATCAGCATCAATGATAGACAAATGTAATAAAGAGGGGGGAAAACCACAAAACGGAAGTTTAACAAAAATAGGACAGCATCAACAGATCAATCTGCTTACATAATTATTGCAAGTGTGATAGTGAACAATACTTATCAAATAACACATAAAAAAATGGTGATATTGAACATCTACTATGTCCTATAACAAATATCAATCATAGCAAACTTTTTAAAATAAGCAAAAATTTTAACGCAACATAAACAAAAATCTAGACAGGCTAGCATCAATGATGCAGAAAGACTCAAGATGATAAAAAACTGTCTTTTCTTAAATGCACACTAGCATATGGACAGAAACTCATCTTGAAATAGTTAATATTTGATCGAAACTCATCTAGAAATAGTTAATATTTGATCGAAACTCATCTAGAAACAGTTAATATTTGATCGAAGTTGCTGATATTAATTGTAAAGGCCAACAAGCAAATCAGGACAGCCATATCAGAAACACTAACCAGGCAATCAAACATCGATAATCCTGGATGCTGGAGACGACAACAGCAACAGCAGAAGCAGAAGCAGAGCTCCTTGTGGATGGCAAACCACGGTCTAAATGTAACAGGTTTACCACTTATAAAAAGAATAGAAGTTTCTTCTGCATTCACCTGAATAAAACATTTAACGAGGCTAAAATTCATACTTCCTCCATACCTTTTTTTTTTTTTTTTCTACTCACTTATAGAAAGAAAAGAAGCTGTTTCCATATTAATCCTGAATAATGATGAGGATGAGGACAAGATCAAGGAAATTATTAAGTTTAAAGGAAAAAAAATATGAAAGCAACATGCAATATGAACACAAATACAACAAGGGAGGCAAAAATATGCAAATGGCTCACCACTAAGATGGCAACAAGAAAAAGGACCTGCAGGCTGGAATATGCAAAAATCCTTATATGCCCCAGAATCTTCTCCACAACATAATCTAGGTTGAGCCGAGTTATGCCTCTTCAAATTTTGGCCAGTGATGGTACTTTGACAACTAACCCTTTTCTTGGAGTCTATTATTATGATGCTCTGACTTCCTCATTGTTATCAAAGAGTTTCCTTTCTGTTATCAGACCTTTAAGAGGACCATAATTCAATGTTTTAATCTACTTCACTATAGTAAATGATTGAACAAGGTATTTTGGCATCACTTGCCTCCAAAGACTCAATTTGCACGACAAACACATAAAAAATATGAATAGACTATGTAGAAAACTCTTAAACGACAAACACATAAAAAATATGAAATCCATATTGGTTTTACATTACCTCCTAAAAACAATCCGAGCATCCATGTCATGAACTATGTTACTCAGCCTCTTCCATTCACCTCAAGGGCTCAAGTAGGTGTGACCAATACCTCAACCCTCAAACATGGGTATGGACACTTTGACACTTCATTTTGTGCCAAAAACATGGAGTATTTTCAAATATTAATAGAGTTGAATAGAAAAACCCACATTGGACATGAGTATAAGTCTGAATAACACAAGTCATATATCACAATATCATGATTTAAAATGCAGAAATAGTAGTGGTTGTACATCAATACATACATAGGCACTTAGAAAGAAATTTTTGATGTATTTACATCAATCAGTACTTCAAGGATACATACACGAGAGAAGATCCATGACCTCTTCCATATTAGGCGCGCAGAAAAGCCAAAAATCATGTGTTGATGAAATGGAAACTATGACAATCATACATGTGTGTGCTCGGGTATTAGTCATTCAACACCAGTATCCACATACTCTTGTCATTTTGTTACACTATTAATCACATCAAGCATCCCCATGTCTTTTAATAGAGTATAGTGTCCATAAAAAAACATACTATAAGTTCCGCCAAGGTAGGGAACCACAGCTTCAATGAACAAGCGCATTTGGCTACAGGAAGGAGCTTCAAATTGTAAAGGCAAGGCACCTATATAGCTAGCAATAATATGGTATTCAAAGCTTCAAACCACAGATTACATAGCTATCTAGTCAAGTTAACGGTTAACCAATTACTTCATTTTGAAACCGTGATTACAAATTTACAGAGCATGCTTTCAAAAATGGCAATGTAGTAATAAAACCAATAAATAGTTCTTTATTAAAACATTAGTCTCACATTTTGCTCCAATAACATCAAGAGAAAACATTATGTAGGTCAATTTCTCGAGTTCAATCTTCAATGGCAATGTCAATTAAAGTATTATTAATAGATCTGTATCTGCTAAATCATACACCCTTAGTCCCCAAAAGATTTCTTATGAACTTGTTGATGGTATATATTTAGGTCTAACTTTATAACTTTGACCATGAAAACTCATTAAATTATAAGAAATATAATTGTCATCCAAGAAATTGTTGGGTTCTTTTCAATATACTTCCATATTTTTAAAATTGCAACATGATTACGCTTCCCAAAGCACAATTTAAACCTTATGCCTTTAATTATATAGCAATAAAAACTATAAAAAGTTGATACCAAGAAAGTATATATCAAAAAAAATCCAACAAGACTCTACATAACTATATTATTCCCACCAAATTAATCACAATATGGGTTAAAGAGAACTGTTTAGATCGTGTCAAAAGTGCAAACGTTGAAATATTAAAAGAGCAAAGGAAGTATATACATAAAATATCAACTTTTTATACAAATATGTAGATAATGGTTTAAGATTTGTTTCGGAGACCATGAAGAGTCAAATGGACCAATTTTTAAGGGGAAAAGTACATATCCTTTATCTAGACTTTTCCTTCAAAAGATGGGGAGGTGTTTTGATAGTAGTGATTGGAAAAGTATAATTAAAAAATATACAACAAAAAAGGATAGTAAATTAGCAATATAAGAAAAGTAAACAATAACCCATGACTACTGTGACTGAAAATCAGAATGACCTAAACTGCAACATAAAACGGAGCAGCGAAGATGTGTGATTTGGACATAGGCACTCAGCAATGCAAACCCTTATGAACAAATTAATAATCTCTTTTCGGAGAAACATGACCACATATGTAATTAAGATTTCAAGATCTATTTCCATAGCTTTCATTGCTCATGATTTATAAATTCCTTAAACAGGTCAATATCCGAGCCCAATATTGCAGGAATAATGCAGGATTCCTAGTCAGGGTACTTTCAAATATGTTCTTGCAGCACAATTATATTCTAATTGCTGAAGGTCTCTTATGTGTATCAACAAAGAGAAGCATGTTATACAATATCCAGAGCGATGCCAAAATAATTAACCCGTCCAATTTTAAATTTAAAAAGAAAAAACCTCGACTTAAAAGTACGGTCAGCATGATAGTATTAATCTGCAAGAATGAGACATGGACTCAAACCTCTTCAGAGTCTTGTATAAGTAAATGATATAGTAACATTAGTAAGGTACCACAATAAACTAGAATGTTGTTCTGCAACCTTCTTTTCATCCTCTTGATCCCAAAAGATGCAACTAAACTAAAGGATGACTGTTGCCTTCACAAACTCAGCAAATCAGAACTAAAAAACACCAAGTACTTCATTCTGAAACTGTCCAGTATCATCTAAGTCACATCTTAATGGATTATACACATTGCATATTTTTCTGCTATTCAAAAAGCAAAGAATGTTGGCATTCTAGCTAAGGGTAGCATGGATCGATGAACAATCAGCCCAATTTATCTTTCAACAACTTTGAATCAGTATACAATTATAAAGAAGCCATGACCCTCTTTTTTTGTCAAAATCAATGAAGATAAGATTTAAGCTAAATTAGTGTGTGCAATTACAAGAAAATAAGACACTAAGGTACAGATGTGTATTTTCCAAGTACTTGTCATAAAAGAACATGAATTTCAATCAGAAAAGAATCAAAGACGGACAACAGATTACAAGAACAGCTAACACATACATACCTCCACAACTTGTGGAAAAGCCATCCCTAAGAGTCCAACTATCATCAGCAAACAAGAATATCTCTTTGAGACCAGCTCTAGCTGCTAGTTTCCTAGGAAAAAGTATACAATGTCTGACGAACGAACCTAATTTACAACTCAGTCGTATCCAATGGTGTCTCCATTGAATCCTTCAAAATTTGCTCAGCCCTTCTTTTCTTTTCGTCATTCTCATCATCCCGCTCAAATAAAACTGCAATCTTCTCAACTCCTTTAGTTTGAGCAACTACATTCTTACTCGTACGCAAAGACTTCCTTACACTATTGAACTTAAGCCGCACAGTTGGTCTCTCATCCAAACTGACTTGTTTCTCCATCTTCTTAATCCCAGAAACCTCATTTCGTGCGGTTTCAGCAATTGGAGCATATGTATCCATCACATTTACGTGATGAATTCCGTCCCAATGCCTTGAAGGAAATTCAACAGAAGATACTGCCTTCTCCCCAAAAGCAAAAGGAGGAATCAAATACGGGTTCGTTTCAACAGCTTCAGAACCATTATTAGCAGCCAATTGCTGCTGCTGCTGTTCCTGCTGCAACTGCTGCTGCTGCTGCTGCTGTTCCTTTTCTTGCTGTTGCTGCTGTATATTCATCAATTCAGCTTCTTCCTTCTTACGCGCTTCTTCCTGCTCAATCTCTTTCCTAGCTGTATGTCCATCAGTCTCTCCCTCTCCCAACCCCGGCAACTCTCCTCGTGGTTCCGAAAACGGAAACACAGGCAACCACGGCGGAATATGCTCAGGAGGATCCTTCCCCATCTGCAAAAAACTAGAAGGAGAATTCCTCCTATCCCTTGAAACTGGAAACCTAGGTAGTGAAAACACAAATGGAATTCCCTCAACTAATCCTACATACTGACTAATCTCTCGAACTATGCCCGATTTCGCAAGCGAACGATGAACAACTGAAGCACCCGGAAACCCCTGAATCGAACCCAAATCCTCTAACCCTCGAATCACATCAAATACATTACATTCAGACCTACCACCTTGATTAGCATAATGATTCGAAGTCTTACCAAGCTCCTTCATGTAACGCACCGCAACATCGGCGAACGCTTCGAGCGCCGAGTGCTGGAAACTCTGAAACCCTTCATTTTCGCAAAGCTGTGCTACTGCAATCTTCGCAATCGTTCGCACAAAATCTTCGTTTCCTGCTGGTTTTCTTGTGCTCTGCTGCTCAAATTCTTTTCCAATTTCTTTACCTCCATCGCTCATTTCAACAGCAACTCATTCATATCAACATTTACAACCATAAATTCGAATTCATCTCAAGAATTTGTTACCTTTTTGGAGCATCTTGGACAATTAAATCGAAGAGTTTCGAAAATCTTGAGGACAATTCTAGGGTTTTGAAGCGATTGGGAAGGTGAAATCGATGAATTAGTGTGATTAAGCAGGAAAATGTGATGGATTTGAAGAAAAATGGAGTGTAAAAAGCCCTAGCAGAACCCCCCTAAACTAAGATCGAGCAAGAATATAAAATTGGGAGCGAGGGGGAAATGGCGAGTATTTTCGAGTTTTTTTGAAGCTTTTTTTATAGGCTCGCAAATCGTAATGAAGCATGCATAAAACATTACGGCCTTTGGTTGAGTGTAAAATGATTTACCATGAAAAATCCCATTAGAAAATGTAATTTTCTACACATTTTTCCTTATTTGGTTACATGTAAACTGATTTTACTTTTTAAGCATTTTTCGTCGTTTGGTTCTATAGAAAATCAACATCTTTTTTTTTTTTATTATTTTTTTTTTATTCTTTGTCTTTCCTATAACTTTAAGGAAGATATTATCAGTTCTTTCCCATACCGTACCACTACTAATAATAATAATTCTTGAACTTTTTCTAAGCTAATTTTGAATTTGTTTTTGTAAATATTAAATGCAATTTAGAAATAAAAGGGTAAAAACTAGCATAATTAAATCATATAAGTAAGATAAAATGTTGTAGACTGGTACAAAGTAGCAGCAACAACTCAAATACCAAGACATTACAAAATACTTTACTTTCTACGTACTCATAGTAGTACACATTTGTAGTAAGTAGTTGTAGACAAACAATAAAACATACTCATTCTAATTTTTAATGATTAAGGGAATTTATAAATTTGGATCTAAACTCTTCAAAGAGGTTTGCTCTTTGTCAAAAAAGCTTTGGCAAGCATCTCCCGCTCAACCAAGTGCGGCTTCACGAACTGCTTCTCCAAAATCATCTATCTTCATTATCTCTTCATAAAGTTTCTCCACATCAAGTTGGTTGTTTGAGAATTTCTTCAGAGCACTAACCACTTCTCCTAGTTGATTAGATATTTGTTACAACTCACAAGTGTCATCTTCACCTCTAGTCCTCTTACGATGTTGTCTTGGCTCTGAAGAAGTGGCACTAGCTGAATTCGATGGCCCATTTTCTGTCATACTTGTAGGCTTCCCTTGTCCACTCTCGTTGTTAAGTTCAATATCAGCAAAACTCTTAGAAAAGTCTCCACGAGCCATGTCTTTACAAGCCACGATTGCTATTTCTTCATACATGTCAATTTTTCGATTGAGATATTTCTCATGAGAAGGATTTTCTTGTATACAAAAGGAGAAAAATATCAGAGTGATACTTGAAGTATACTTGAGTTGAAACATGAATGTTGTATGTAACATTCACTGCCCTCATGCAAAAGTATATCAATGAAATACTTATCCTTCAAAGTTAGATACCAATACAAACATTTGACTGTTGTTTAATATTCACTGCCCTCATGCAAAAGGTTAGCAAAACCAAGAAAATCATTTACCATATATTCCAATGCAGATGATCAGAAGTACATCAATCTTTTTATTTCATTTATTCTTATCCATAACATATCCAATTTTCCATATGTCAGCATACTCATTATGGATAAAACTTGCTACACAGAGATGACAACACCTAATTTGTATTTCATAACAAGCCACTCTATATATAAATTATTTAAAAAAAAATCAAAGCACCCAAAAAGAAGCTGTACCAAATAAAACAATTACAATTGCTAAAATAGGAAATAATGCCCTATTTACTGACCTATTTTATAGACTCATTACTGAGAGGCTAATTAATCTACCAATTTACTACCAGTGAGCTTTTTATAATTCTTAATCCTAGTCAAACTAATATTTAAGAATAAGGAGAGTACTAGAGATCAAAACACATAAAATTAACCTGAATATAATTATTGTAAGCATTAGGAGATGATGTTACCATCTTCACAGTGTCATTCCACCCAAATCCAGAGTTACCACGAACTTTCGATATGATTTCTCAATTAGCTCTCGCTGTCCTCATGTGGTTCTCAACATGGTCAACCGTGCAGGAAGCCCTAAATTTTTCTGAATTTTTTTTTGCAGCAGCAACAAAAGAGCATGTTCTGAAAGTGTTATTTGGCCTATTTCCCTTTCTCACTTCTTCTGCAAGAAATACCAGCAACTCCTTGGACATTTGTTTTGACCAACAAAAATTCCCTTTTTTTCTTCATTCTTCACCTGCAATGGTAGATACGCATGCTTCTTATATGCAAACCACATGAATTATCAAGAAAATCTCATCATTTCAGATGCAATCACCAAAATAAAAGTTCATAAACATCTTTGCAATTTCTAGTTCAAATCATTAGTGTAACCTGTTATAACACAAGAAAATAGAAAGACTTCAGGTTGTTCGAGGCTTCTTGTATGCAGTCCACATGGCTGATGCTATGGCATTTCTTTTTTTAACACATTTGTTTCTTCTCGCATTTCCCTTCGAGTAAGTAATTTTCTTGTATCTAGTCAATCCATCTCTTAGTCTACCTCTCTAGTTATCGGGTCATTTGGATCCACACCCCTAAGGAGGTTGTGTATCACACAACATGCTAAAACCACATCAACCTTTTTTAAATGACCAAAAAGGCTCAGCATCTAAGACACGAAACCTCGCCTTTAGAATTCCAAACGCCCTCTCTACAACCATTCTAATTGAAGAGTGTCGGAGGTTGAATAACTCCCGTTCACTTTCTGGAGGATTGTTTGTATATTCTTTCAAGTGATAACGGGTTTTCCTTTATGGAGGCATAAGACCTTTTCGACTACCAAAACCCACATCTGCTAGATAATACTTCCCTGCACACAAAAATAAAAATGCGAATTATAATCAATTTATCTTCAGTTTGCAACTACCAAAAAAGAGACAAATACCTTCTGGAATTTTGAACCCCCTACTTAGCACATCATTAAGGACCTTGAATCATGTGCAAAACCCTCCTAGCCAGGTAGAACATAAGTGAACTTGGCATCAAAATCAACAACAGCTAGCACGTTTTGTGTTGTTCCGCCCTTTTTACCACGAAATCTATCTTGTATCTCAATGGGAACAGAGGCATGCACATGTGTTCCATCTATAGCCCCTATGAAATCCTCAACCATGGAAAGAACCTAGGGTTGTTTTGAATTTTTGGTTGAATTGAAGTTGTTGGTGGTTTCACAACCTTTGGATACAATCGAAGGATAGCTTGAAGCATAATATAAAAATAGTAGTGTACGGTCCATGTTGACCGAAAAAATCTTCCCCCAATTACAAGAAACCTTACATTGTGTCCCAATAAGTGTAAAAATATAATTACTTGCTCCTTAACACTCATTCGAACACTTTCCCACAAAAGTCCTCTTTCGACTAGAATATTACATAAGCTATAAAATGCAGTAGGCCTCATATGAATTTGTCCTAGACAATGAGTGTCACCACAATATAAAATACATTGATATTGGCCTCCCTCAAACTATCTTTATTCACATAAGGTTGCCTAATTAATTATTTTACGCCTTTTATTCCTAAACATATACTCTTCAACAAAGCAAGAACGAAAGAAATTATGGCTGCCACAGAACCAAGAATCATGCCTTTCAATTCATGGGTCATCTACAATAACATATACAACAAAATATATAATAAGCCATAACATATACAACAAATTATATAGCATTTGCATACAACTTATTGACATAATCCCCCTCTCCCCAAAACAAGAAAACAATTGATATTTGATAAGCATAATTTGATCAAGACTTATCCATAGATGATAGGATAATAAGCATTATTTTCTAACAACCATGAGAATAAAGATGTAAACACAAAATAAGCAACCATGTCCATTAGAACTAGCTTAAAATAATGTAAGGGATCATTGATCACGCCTACCACCCAACTACATTTGGGACCTATTTGGCGCGAAATTCTTTTCATCCCATTTATGTTATTTGATTAGCACCAATGAGTAACAACACTTATGAGTATTACCATATTCCTCTAACAAACTATGATCAGTTATTATAGGTATATCAGATTCCTTGATTTTAGGGAATTAGTAAGACTTTAGATTGAGATTCCAGAAGAATATGACAGAAATTTTCTTACATTCTATATAATGAAATCTTGTATAAAGTAGAGTATAACATCATTGTGTATTCATTCAATCACAAACTCAGTGTTTCTATAATGGGGAAATTTCAACCCTGACACTGAACACCAAATTGAACAAATATACTATAGAACATAGCAAATCAGATTAAGCTAAATCAAACCACAACAAAACTTCCAGAACCAGAAAATTATCAGTATAATGAAGCAAGTAAAATTAGACCATTAGAGTTGTATTATACTTGAAGTGAATTTTGAGATGATACCCCTTGGTCCGACATCATACTAGCTTACAATCTTAAAAAAAAAAAATTCAACAAAATAAAACAAAATTGTGAGGCATTTTATCAAACACTTTGTGAGCATGATAAAAACCTGTAAAATATATGAATGAAAATAAAATTTGCAGCAAGTAGAATGAACCTAACAACAAATTAATCACATCAAAAAAGCAATTTCGAATTGAAGTAACAAATTTTATGCAAAAATACCCTAAAATAATCAAAATATGTACAAAAAATACCCTAAAATAATCGAGTTTTAAATCAAATTAAACCCTAGATTAGTAATCAAGTCAAGAAGAGAGAGAATATTACCAATTTGCAACAAGAGATCGAGTGAGGAAGATCTACCTGAGTTCGTAGCAATGCAGCGTAAGGAGAAGGGGAAAGATGGAAGGGGAGTGAAAACACGGCTTCCCTTTTGATTTGGGGGAAAACGTTTTCTTGTACAAAGGAAAATAGTTTTTCAGCCCAAATTTTCCTTTTCATATCCGGCCCAAACTAAACAATGTAAAATAAGGAAAATAGTTTTCTTGGAAAAGGTTTTCAACCCAACCAAACATGTTGTACTTGTAACACCCCCAAAATTCGGGTCATTGTAAACAATAAGAGTACCCCTTTTCTTTTCAAAACCGACCATCGAACCTTGGGAGTGTTACTGCTACACTTATTTTTCCATAGAAAACAAGTGCAAAGCAAAAGCAAAATACCATTTTATAACTAGGTACTCTAAGTGGCGACAAAGAATTAAATTTAAATTGTATACTAGAAAAATCGTTGATTAAATATAATAAAAAATTTGGGGTATTACATCTACTCCCCCTAAAACGAAAGTTCTTCCTCGAACTTTAAAGTTACACTCAAAATTAGGCTCGCATGATGACAAAGCTAAGTTAGTATTACAGTACTAGTGTAATTAAACTTCCCCTCATTTTGTCTAGAACTACCCTAAAGATAAGGTCATTTGTGAACAACTAACCGTTTTTTTTTATTTGTTTAGAATTACCCGCAAGTTATGAAACGTTTGGGTAGCACTACCCAGTAATGTTTTTCGTCTAATTAAGACATTACCGGGGCCTACTTTTTCACTTTTCCCACCTAATTAACTCCCCCAACTACCTTCTCTCCTTCTCTTTCCTCCCTAATTAATTTTCCCTCCATTCTCACTC